ATCTGCTCCCCACCTATTTCTCCCTTTTTTTAAAATAGGGTTTGAAAGAAAAAAATCCTACCAACTTTATCTACACTTCTACCTGCATCGAAATAATAAAGCATAGGAAGGATTATTTATTAAACAATCCTATATGCTTGAAAATATTTAGGGAAGAAAGATACTTAAATTTCAAGTTACACACGCATACTTTTTGCACCCTTTCCGCTCCACGAGAGGGAATTTATTTTAGCTATAAAAAATGAGTAAGGAGGAAAAAAAAAATTGAAGCTGCATATTCCTCATTTACTACTGTCTGCATGTATTAATGTCTCTAGCCATGTATGTAACTCAGAATTACCTGAAAGGAAATTATCTGAGATTGATTTTGTTTTGTACAGGAGTGACACACAGTTGTTCCTACCAAGTTCCATTTTATCAAGTGTCCTCCCAGAAAAAAAAAAAACAATTAGTGACTGCAAGGCAGTAGATTAGAAAGGACTTGGGGACTAAATCAGGCCACAAACTCACAGTCAACACTGCATTGCTAATAAAGGCAGCAAACATCACTCTAGAACATATCAGCAATGTTACACAGAAACTTTATGAAAAGCATTTTGTTCTAATTGACTCTGTATGAGGGCACCATAAGCTTTTGTGGGTAGTACATCTCTGTGTGCACTGGCAAACAAAAAGAGGGGAACAGCAATAACAGAAACCAAACAGAACACCTAAAAGAAACCAGAACGAACAAAAATAAAAGCATGAGTGAAATACTCTCTCTAATCAGTGACAGCACATTAATTCAGAAAGGAAGAAACCTATCTTCCTCTTGTTCGCTCTGCTATCACACAGAGGATCCCAAACAGTGACAAATGAATCACGTGAGCAAAAGATAAATAAATTCCAAAATATTTTAAAAAAACCATTTTTGCTGTATCCCCACAAAGATCAGCTTTGGTATTTCAGTCAACCATCTGTGGAGTAAGTTCAGAACTCCTGAGGGACAGTGCTAAGGCCAAGTCTCTTCTATACTGGGCAAGCACTCACTTGTGATGGGATACACCAAAGTGCCACTCTCCAGGAACTGAGATAATCTTTGAAATAAAAATTCCCATTCAAAGTATTCACATTCTACCCGCATTTGCAAATAGTTGCAAGTGAATAGAAATACCATTATTCATGATTTCCCTCCTGAAAAGTAAAAAACTCATTTACACTACTCTTTAAGTTCAAAAATAATTTTCAATAGCTCAAAAACTTAGAATACCACCTATTCAGGTCTGCAAATATTGAGAATCTAATTTACAGTCACCTAGACTCCCCTGATGGCAAATAGAAGGACATTGCATGGAAGAGAAGTGCAGATTGCTGTGTAATAGGGGATTGAGCAGAATCTCAGTAAGTCATCTATAAAAGTAGGGAAAGACCTGTCAAGCCCACCTTTTTTCTGTTGGATTCCCAGGGTTCTGAGAAAAGATTGACCCCATTCCACATTCTCAGAATATCGAGCTTTGAAATAGTCACAAAGCTCTTGACCTTTACCCTCACTAAGGACAGTCTTTTGACATGGCAGTAAGTGCACACTAGAGACTCCCTTCAAGTGCAGGTCAAAATGGTATGAAAGACAAATTGCTACAGAGGCTAATGACTACACAGAGGCACTTTTAGATAAGGAAGCCCTCAAGCTGAAGGTGTTTGGAGGACAGCAGAGGGAGCATTCAAGGAAAGTATTATATATATATACTTCACTTCCACTGTTTATACAATCTTAAGACCTTCATTTTTCGGCTACAGTAGAATAACACATCTCTTTTTTTTGGAGTTACCCCAAAAAAACCTGCCCTGGCATTCTTCTGAGTGGCATATCTTGTCAATCTCTATTTTGTCTTTCTTGTTTCTCAGTCTTCACTTCTGTCCACTTTCTCCATTTTTACCTTATCCTCTGTTTTTCCCTCCAATTTCTTTACCTCCTGTCATCTAATTCCTACCTCTGATCTCCTCTGTATTTCTGTCATGTGGATGATACTGATCTTTACATGCTGCAACTTTATTTCATGCTTCAGATAGAGCAATGGGACACATGTATTCCCAATCCATGATCATTGTTTCAAATCCATTTGCAGAACTTAAAGACAAATGTACAGTTATTTCATTTGTATAGCATTTCCTCTAAAAGATGGAAATAATAATGTACTTACCCTTAAGAAAATAAAATTTTAAAAATGTTTGCACACATTACCTAGGCTATAAAAACACAGTAGGCAGATAACATCACATTGCTTTAAAGACAGGACATATCTCCACATAGCAGGACTATAAAACAGCACATATTCCTTATTTCAGTAAAGCTACTCTAGAGTTTAGAGGATATAACCTCTGCAAAATGGTGACAACCAAAAACCTGTCAGAGGGTGGTGGGAAAGCAGATAAGAAATAAAACATGAATATGCCTTCCACTGCACATGACCAGAGGGAAGGGACAAAGGAAAAAAAAAACCTGTACAATACTTATTTCCCTTCCCTTATCTGAAAGGAACACTCTACATAAATATTTCAGGAAGTCTACTCATTTTCAGGATGGAGGATTATACTGAAAAAGATTTCTAAGTATTCAGTTTGATGCCAGAAAACTGGAATTGTGTTTCAGATCTTGACATAAGATATATAGGAACAAACATAGCATCATAAGTCACAGCTATCATGGAAAAGAAACTTCCTTCTGCCTTCTTTACATATGATTCCTTAATTAAACATTTTCAAACAAAATTCTCGGTAGCATGTTGAAAATTCATCTGATCAAAAGGTTGGATTTATTTCCTTACAAAGTCAATGAGCTTGTCTTCTTTCACTTAATAGTACAGGCCTCTAGCTGTGTTTATACTACCACATTACACTGCGCACAGGTTTGATGGCTCCTCTGGAAAAAAAAATGCAGTTTTTATATTTAATGACAGATTTATTCTAAAAGAATTATTTTTTCTCTTTTCTGTCTCTCCAGAGAGACTTCAGTAACATTCTGGATAGCAGTAAACATCTGTATAATACTAGTACTGAGTATTAGTATACTAAATTCTCCCTACTATAATCTTAGGTGATATTTAGACCTTGACCTCTATAAAAGTGCTTAAAAAGAAACTACTAATTTGTATCAAAATAACTACTTACAGGCATAGACTGCCACCTAGTGACTTTGATCACCTGCAAGGAAAAAGAAACTAAACAAACAAAAAATCAGCTTCTCTCTTCCAGAATAGGAGAAAAAAGTTCATTCCTTCATGTTTTACATCAACATATAAAAACAACCTCATATTATATTACTTGTATCACCTATTATTATGTTGATAATAAGTGGAGGAGGAGAATGGAGAAAAAAAAGAGTCAGTAAGTGTATGTAAACTTCCTCTTACAGGTAAGATCCATGAAGCTCTTTTTTTGTCAATTCTACCTGAAACTCCTCCTTATTTTACAAGGACTAGCCTTTGCATAAAACAAGCATTCCACCTAGAACTTATTTAATCTCTAAGACAACACTGATGGACAGACACACCCCTCAAAATATTGGATTCCCTTAATTTTTTGCACTTTTAGTCTTTCCTGGTTCTCCTCAGCACTGTAATCATATTTTCAGTACATTCTCTAATTCATCTTTGCCACTCCCTCTTCAGTCACAGCCTATTTTCTACAGAATTTCACTACTAGTGAAGAAAGAAGCCAAGTTACCTGTGTCATCTTACCTACCTTACAAAGTTAAATTATCATTTTGTAAATGAGCCCCAAATTCACTTTATCTTCAGACTTCTCTTTCTGTCCAAACTTGTATTCCAAATATTGTCTTTGTTTGCTTATCAGCACCTCAGCAGCAGCATAAAGAACATTTATTTTTCCTGTGTTTTGGGTTTGCATGGCCAGGTTTTGATAGCACCACACCAAATGGATAACCAAAGAAGAAACTTAATTGGAAGAGCAGTGAAGGATTTGGAGAAGTCCTTTAGATTTGCCAACCAGGTGTCAGAACTCAGTGGTTACATTCTATCCATCAAGAACTGTCAATGTAACACTTATGTGCTTGTGCAACAATATAGGACCTTAAAGTCTTTTCCTTGCCCCACCATCTTTGGAAGCCACTGAAACTAAGCTGTAGGAGACTGTCCCACAGAAATTGATGAACCAAGTTTCTTCCAAAATGAACACAATATATGAATTAATTTAAATCACAAATCACACAAAAAAATTTTAAAATTTTAAAAAAATGTGAAAGTTCCTGCAAGTTTTAAAGGAATCCCCTATTTAAAGCTTACTTAGAAAAAATACGTCTTTAAGAAAAAATTCCTCCAATTATTTTTCCTCTTCCATTGAACTCACCTCCACAGTCTAAAATATTAGATACTTAGGTACCATCTTATTTTTTCATATACTTTTGTAAACCTCTTTTTTCTCTACAGGGTAAAGGCTACTTCTAAGACTCTTTGAGACAAGGTCGTAGCATTTCTCTGAATGCTTTCCCATAAGTCTCCCAAATAAGTAAATGAATCACATTCTAGATAAAGGACAAGCCTAGCTATATAATTTCTCTATTGGGTTTTCAGGCCATGCTAGGGGAAAAACTATTTAACAAAGAGTTTAAATCCATTTTAATGTAATTTCTTCATGGTTCTTAACAGATAGGATGAAAAACATCACCATGTATTGTTGCTAAGCTATAACTGATTACAGTAATAGGGCCACAATATTAAATACCCAGTCGGACAGTAGTTCAAAAAAATGAAGTTACATTGATAAAGGTAGTTGAAGAAATAGAAGACTCCTGAAATTACATCAGCAAGTTTCAAAAGCTTGAAAAGCTTACAGAAATGGTAACACATTCACAGCTTTTTCTATTTCCAAGAACAACAGACAGGAAAACAGAAATATATTTACAAGGCTTCTCTCCTATGTCTTCTTCTCCTAAAAAACACAGAGGGGTAAAAAAGAGCAGAGATGTTAAATGAAATTGATGTCAGATTTATAAGTTAACTTACCATATTTGTCTCGCAAGCCAACTGTACATCTGAAGACTCCACCAAAGGCCACATCTTCACCAAACACTACTGAAAATAAGGACAGCAGAGGAGGGTAATATTACTCTAATGTATCTTACTTTTAATGAACATGTTTCGAAAGTTTTTATATGAGACACTAACATGAGTAACACCTTATATTTCATTTCACTACAAGATTTATCGAGACCTAAGCATTTCTCAGGCACTATAACAAAGGAAGAACCAACAGAATTCATGAAACTGATTCAGTTAGGCTTTCATTAAACCATCTATTTATTTTTCTGAAATATCCTATAATATCACAATACCTAAAACTAAATGAATAAAATTCTAAAAAGCAATTACATTCAGTCACTATAGAGTCATTGAAGTTAGGCTTTCTGCTTCAAATGGTAACCATTTGCATTCTTCATTCACGGATTTTGGTAAATATAGTGTTTTGAAAACCATCAAATTGAAGTTATCTTCGAAATACCGATCCAACACGAAATTTCCAACCTTCTCCAAACCTACTTGCCAGATCCCTGGAGAGTGACTTCAAAGGAATTCCTCTACAGAAAATATGAATATCTAATAACTAGGACAAATCTCAGTATTCAACACTACTATCTTTGCAGTCAGTAAAATTTTATCACTAGAAATATTTGCCTTTAAAACTTTGCTTTGTACCAACTAATCTGGGGGGTTTTCCATTGCATTTATGGAACAATGATGTCTAATTTTTCTTAAAACAGTTTTGTTATTTATTTCACAGAAATAAGTATTGCCCATTTCAATTTTTTAAGCATGTAAGATGTGTAGCAGCACCGCCAATAGCAGCTTGCATGAACTAGGGTCAGTTCTGATAATTCCCAAATTCCTCAATACTCTCCATATTCTAAAAGATGCAAAATAATAAGTTAACCTTCCTGTTTAAATTAAATAAAATAAATTTCTGATTGGAAACACTAAAAGGGATTAATACACTTCTGACAGTCACACCAATGATCACTTAAAGAAAAATAACTTCAATAATGATGTAAAATGAATGCGGTCATGGAGTATATGATTGAAGTATGTCCCCAGATTATTTCTCTAATTAATTTTTAAGAATAATTGAGGGGGGGATTTTATGTACTTAAAATCTTTGTAAGGCCTTTCTGTTACCATATGGCTACTCACTTTTCAGCCAGTTGGCATATAAAAAAAAATAAAATCCCATTTAATGCTGGTATCCGCAAACTTGTGTGGCTTTACTCATTTCGTTCAGTCACTAAAACATATTTTCCTGGACAGATTTTAATTTTCCTGGACAGATTCTAATTCTCATCAACACAAGTATGAAAATTTCCACTACTTAAACAACAGTTGCTCAATTCCCATACAACTAAAAACATATGAAGGATATGTTCTGTATTGCGAGAAGTCCTAATTAATTCAGTAAGTGCAGTGATAGTGACAGCTCACTGGACTGTACAGTCTGGACTGTAGAACTCCAACATGGTCTTGCAAAGAGCTTTACAAAGATCCAGCTCTGCAAAGCTGAGCAGCGAGACTGGAACCTTAGAGTAACTGGTTCTCTAAAGGCTGAAGCGTACATATGACTCTAGGTTCCTGCTGGGCTAACATTCTACTTACTTTTATATGGTTGATTCTACAGAAATGGTACTCAAATCTGTCCTTGGCACTAATTAACCCTCAGTTGTCTAAGTTTAATGTAATCAAGGTGAATATAATACAGCTGTAGATTGAGAGAGAATGTATACAGGCATAGTACTGGGCAGACAATATGAAATTTGTCCCAACAGATTAGACGACCAGTCAGACTTTAGGTTGAGCAGTGCTTCAAGTAGTGTCAAAAGGAGTTACTAAAATACTAAAAAGAAAAACTAAAATTACACAAGATGGTGCAGCTTTCACAGCTGTGACCATGACATAAAACATCTTTTTCAGATATCTGGCAATCATCATGCCTTTGTTAGGACAACAGAAGCAAAAGACCTCCTCTTATGTATACAAATTAAAAGTGGAATAAATAGTTTTATGCAAGAGTATAGAATAAGCCTTTTAATCCAGCTATAATGAACCATAATCTTTAAAGTTATAGGTTATCCAGACCACAAAAAGTCTTGCAAATCTTACATTGCCTATGCATAATGATGAACTGAAATCAGTAAAGTTTTTAATTAATTTTGGAGGGTGGGGAAGAAGGGAATGGAGAACGGACAGAGCAAGGAATATAGAGTCTCTAAAAATATATATCAGTTTTAGAGAATAGAAAGTTTAAGAAATTTAAAAGTAATATTTACATTTTTAAAACTCCTTCTACTGGTGGGACTCAAGTTGCCCCTAAGGACAGTTCACATCAGTAATACCAGAAGTATGTTAAATAATGTATCTTTCTGTCCTGGTTTTCAAGCAAAATGCACAGAGCTAATAAGAAAAGACACAACTGCATCTCAGATCACACAATGCATTAGTAACCCGTTAAAGCAACACATTTTTAAGATTTTTTTTTGGAGATCAAAATCTAGAAATAACTTATTAGAAAACTTTAAAGGCCATAAGAAATGTATTAAGTATTGCACACAAATAGGCAAACCAAAACTCAGTTTATACAAAGCAAAACACACTAACAAGTACAGGATACCTGCAGTTGGATCTTTGGCTAAAGCATTGTCCAAGGCACTTGTTATGGACTGGAAGAGGTTCATCTTCTGAGTTTGTCCTGTGTGAAAGTGACCGTTTAGCAATCTAATTTGGTTCAAAACACAAAGTACATTAGAAAACACTGGTGCAAACATGACTAAAAACTTCAGTTAACCATCAAAAACAAGATCCCTGTTAGGAGTACGCAAGATTCATTTCCCGAATAAACTTAAATTATGGGATAGACGAGATTCAGTATGGTATACTTCGCAATCCCAAGGACTATAATTCTACTACATTGCATGCAACCATTTTTAAAAAAAATTATGCTCTTAGCTAGAGAAAATGCAGCTTTGCAATGCTCAGTCAAACACCAGGAACAATGACTAACACAACAGTTTTTTCAAAGGAAGAAACTTTTCAAAGTATTATTGTTCTGAGGACTGGGATCCTTTCTGTTAAGATTCACCAGATCTCATTAAGCTTATTTCATCATGCTTTAGTTACATTTTTCAAAGCACCTGCCTTTCCCATTTACAGACATGTATCATTATCAAGTTTTTTAGACCACTGGCCTGCTCTCTGCACTGCAGTTAGAAAGTGTCAGAAGCATCAAATCCATACTTCAAAGAAAGACAACTTGGTGCCAAAATAAGCAAATGCATTAGACTGCGGTATTCAAATCTTTGAATTTTAACTGAAATTGAAAGAAATTGAAAGAAAACCTTCAAACCAAGAAAGGTTACTGGAGTGCCTTTCTTCATTCCAGCACTGCAGGGAAAAATAAATGGGCCTGAAAGCAAAGATGGACCAAAAAATAGGCCAGACCCCATTATTGTGACCAACTCATATTCTCCAAGCAAATAAAATAATGCCTTAGAAAAAACTGAATGAATAAGAAATTGGGTGGCTGACATTTGGTAACTCTTTAACCAGCAATGCCTCTAAGTCATGACCAGAAGCCACAGCCCAGGAGAATGCTATCTATCAACACACACAGCATGTAAAGAATTAAAAAAAAA